GGGGCAGGAGGAGGGGGCATGCAGACCCACAAACCTATCCCATGGGCCCGTTTTCCAGGACTTCTCCCACAGGCTGCTTCCTCATTAACAGCACTAATAAAGGCTTCAGCTTTTTTGACATCCGGCCAGGACTTGATGAGATTTCCAGGCTGCTCCTCTGCTTTTGGCAAAGGAAACATCCTGTCATTTAAAGCGGCTTCTGCAGGCAGCTGACCTCATCCAGGCCGGGCTGACTCTGTCCCACTCTCAGAGTAATCCAATTTCCACTCTCACTGTCTCCCGAAGAGATAAGAAGCTGCAAGGAAGGAAGGAAATGACAAGAAGGTGATAACAGGGCTAGCTGACGTGTGGAGCGCCTGTCCTGGAGGGCCTCCCGTGAGCCTCAGAACCTCATTTGATGGGGAGGCCTGGGAAGCCCATGGCCCAAGGCCACACCGAGCCATTAGGGGTGGGGCTAGGACCTGAACCCAGGCCTATCTGACAATAAAATTCTTCCCTTAACCACACACACAGAACCTGGTGTCCCTCCAGCAACCCAAGATAAAATTCCCTTGGGTTTCGAGAATATGTGGGCACCCCAGCATGGAAAACACTGGCCTAAGAAATCCAAGTCGTAACATGATCTCACTTATTCATGGATAATTGAGACCATTATAAACTTTTGAACAATAATAGATACAGAGGCAGAGCTGCCTCAAACAGAGTGTCAAACTGCATCGGGAAGGCCGGGGAGGGTTCGGGGGCGGGAGGTAGGGGGGTAAGAGATTAGATACAAAAAAAAAGAAACTCACAAGAACAAAAACAAGTGAAACTCACAAAAAAAAAAAAAGAAATCCAAGTCGTAGTTTATGGAAATGACAGTCATTTGCATTTATCACCACACAAAGGAAGCTTTGTTTAAACAATTGGCACAGTAACTTCTTAAAGAATTTCATCAAAATGAAAACATGACTTTTAAAAAAGTAGAACTCATAGACCCCTTAGAATACGCTGACCCTGGGCCCACAGACCATGGCAGAGAAATGCCTTACTACTCGTGCTGGGTCAGCGAGAGAAACTCACGAGTTGGGGCTTCTGAGGTCAACCACTCAGGTGCAGAGTGCATTCTCTCCAACCCCTTACTACTAGGGGAGGTTCACCAGAGGGGACGCGGAGGCATGCCCAGGGACAGATTGCCCTGTGGGAGCGAGTGTGCCTTGAGGCAGAGGTGGCATGTGAGCTGCCACCCCCGCAGGTCTAGGCTTGCTTATCTCTCAGCACCTGGGCAGCCAATGGGAGAGGGGGCGACAGGTGCAGGTCTGAGCGCTGAGGACATGCGCCAGTGCAAGGGTGCCCCGGGCCTTGTCTCCCTCTGTGGGGTTTGCCGGCCACACCTGAGCCAGCGGCCAGGCTCAGCAGGCTCCAGGGTTTTGGTGTCATGTTCTCATCAGTGTCCTTTCCTGTTCTGTTTTCAGAGAACCCCGGGCCCAGGAACATACACGTCTTCGGCACAATACCCCAAGCAGCCCCGGAGCATAGCCAGAATGGGGCGAGAACACAGTCTTTTCTTCAACAACACAATCGGCTTTTAAAATAAAGCCATCTTTGTGCGAAGCTGCTTTGTTTTAGCAAGTTATTACGTTTGGAAAACTCTATTATGTTTACTCTTTGGAGGGTTTGAACATAGAACCGAACAGATTGCCCTAGTGACCACCCGGCCTGCTTACCTGGACTAGTCCCAGCACAACTTCCAGCTCACTCCCAAACGTGTCCTGATTGGAACAATAAGTTTTGTGCTCAATCTGTTTATTGTCAGAGGTCGTCTTCCTGGAGTTTCCCGGCTGCCCTTGCAGCAGCTTAGACAGGCCCGATGTGTCCAGGCCGTGCTCTGTGGGCCTCGACCCTCTGGCTGGGCCTGGACTGCACGAGGGTTGCGATACCTCTCGGCGTGCATGAGGGGGGGGGTTGGGGGGGGGGGGGGGGGGGGTGCGCATTCAACCAAGGCCAAGCTGAGCTTGATGGGATCCCAACAGGTGGTTCTTTCTCTCTCTCAACTCCTTGAAAAGAACAATATTTATTCAACTCCACGAGTAATTGTGGTTTCAAGTCAACACAAATATTTTGAGTATCTGCTCTGTGCCAGGTGCTGTGTAGGGACTGGGGAGTGGGGCTTAAAAAAAAGATGAAGGAGGCATGTGACTGAGTTTGGGGAGGGCTGTAGGGGAGATGAGGCCAGGAGGGTAGTTTGGGGTGGTCCTCGGCTGGAGGGAGGCTTTGAACGCTGGGCCAAGCAGCTCCTTCTGGTGCTGGGAGCTCAGGGGCAGTTTCACCGCGAGGACAGGCCCTCGTCTCAGGAAGCTGGTGCCCAGAGGAACAATTTCTCCAATGAAGGCCCCGGCGGTCAGAAGCAGAGACAAGGCAGCATGCGGGAGGACAGCCAAGGGACCAAGAGGCTGAGAGGCAGGGAGGAGAGGGAAGAAGGTGGTAGGCAAGGAACCTGGTTTGGACAAAAGGCAAGGATACACATTTGCATACTTACCTGGCAGGGGAGACACCATGATCACGAAGGTGGTTTTCCCAGGGCGAGGCCTATCACACTCCGCATGTGCTGACCATTGCCGTTTACCCAAATGTGGGACACTCAGCTGCATAATTTGTGGTAGTGGGGGACAGCACAAAAGGAATAAACATTTGCTGGAGGGGAACAGAGGGAGCCTAGCCTGGCCGGACTGGCATGGAGGATGGGAGAGTTTGGGTGAGGTTCCGTCAGAAGGCCGGGACCACAGGCAGCCGCGCATGCCAAGGAGGCCTGCTCAGGGAGCTGCGCTGGAGAGATGGCACACATGAGAGCTGGGGTCTCACAAAGGGTGAGGAGATTCCAGTCGCTGATCAATAATTGGAAGGAACTTGAAAAAATGCTTATACAATAGTTTGTTATATTTTAAAAGGAGTTTGTTATATTTCTCTAGTCTTGTAAATGCTTATCAAAGGGTATTGGGGGTAAGGAAGGACAGGCCCCATCTCACTGAATTCATTTAAATTTCCCATTTGTGGGAGAAACACCCGGCATTGCATTCCTTCAGGGCCTAAGAGCCGCTGGGAGATCAGAGGGGTATCCAGGCGCTGGCTCCTGTCCCACTCAGATCAGAGGTATTTGGTGTGTGGAAGGTGTGCGGAAGAGGGGGTAGTCTTATATGGCGAGTATATAACAAACTCTGTATTTTGAGTGGAAATGTTAGGGGGTCGTCTTATACGCCCAGTCGTCTTATACGCCGGCAAATACGGTATTTCTCTAGTCTTGTAAATGCTTATCAAAGGGTATTGGGGGTAAGGAAGGACAGGCCCCATCTCACTGAATTCATTTAAATTTCCCATTTGTGGGAGAAACACCCGGCATTGCATTCCTTCAGGGCCTAAGAGCCGCTGGGAGATCAGAGGGGTATCCAGGCGCTGGCTCCTGTCCCACTCAGATCAGAGGGTGGCCCAGGGCAGGTACTTCCGCCTTTTATTCTCCAAGTGGGTCAGAATCTCCGCTGGACCAGCTGGTGCTGACAGAGGTGTTTTCTCCAGTTGCACCTGGTGCTCGGGGAAGTGGTTCGAGAGAGAGGCGATTGTGTCCGTCTGAGAGGCTGTGGATGGAAGTTCGAGGAACCCCTCACAACAACAGGGGAGGAGGGCGATGGTGTTGTCAGTATGTAGGGGTACCTCCTGACAAGACTGTGGGCCAGGGGCTGGCAGGAACCACTTCTCTCTCCCTCTGTCTCCCCTCTTCCTTTTTCTGAGGCCTCCTCCCTCAGCAGGCTGACTTCATGGCCTCCTTAAGGTACAGAATCTGATGTAGCCACCTTAGCCTTTTCTCATATCATTTCCTGAGTCAACACCCTGAAAGGATGCAACCAGCTCTCTTGGTTCCAGTATTAGATTTTCAGGAGAGAGAATCCAGGCTTGGGTCAGGAGTCCACGCCTGGGCTCTCAGCTCTGGCCAGAAGGGCCTAGACCAGCCGTGAGCAAACTACGGCCCACGGGCCAGATCCGGCCCGTTTGAAATGAATAAAACTAAAAAAAAAGAAAAGACCGTACCCTTTTATGTAATGATGTTTACTTTGAATTTATATTAGTTCACACAAACACTCCATCCATGCTTTTGTTCCGGCCCTCCGGTCCAGTTTAAGAACCCATTGTGGCCCTCGAGTGAAAAAGTTTGCCCACCCCTGGCCTAGACCCTCGGTGCAGACCAGGCTGCAGGGCCCAGCTGCGTGGTGTGTGTAACTGGGTAGAGGGCAGCTCCTGGTGTCCCAGGAGAGAATGAAGACCATGCAGAAGGAGAAGGTGTCTGACTGGCCTGCAGATATTCCAGAGGTGAGACTGCAGGGCCTTCTGGACACCCTGGTGCATTGGGTCTGTTCCCTAAGCTTTGCCTTGGGTTCCCACGACGTCTGTCTGCCTTTGTGGAGCTGGGGGACTTCGGCCCTGTCGTCTTCACCAGTGCCGCCATCTGGTCTTAATGCAGCCCCACCCTCCTGGGTGTTGGGGGCTGTGATGGAGACTTTGACCAGGTATTCACCGAGGTGCTGGCAGGATCTAGGTGGTGAGGAGAATGTTTTACTTCTCCTCTTTGGCGCATTCCAATATTTTATAGAATTTTATACAGTTAGGGAGAGGCTCTCCCAAAGAGGCCAGAGGGATTCTGGATGGCTTTCTCTCACCACGAGCCTAAAATCTAGACACTATTTGAAGAGCAGGGCTCCTCCTGTCCTTGCCAAGATGGAGAGACGGACAGACCTGAGTTGACCTCAACCTTGAGCTCTGAGATTGGGATAGTAACACCTGTCAACTAGGGCCATTGTGCACATCAAATGATATGGCCACAAGGGCTCAGCAAAGCCTAGTGCAGATGGAAGAGACTTGCATCCTAAGCCCTAGAGGCCTTCCCTGTAGGACCCCTCCTCCCTCCTCCATTGGCTGCTGTGACACTGGCTCCTCAAGATCTCTGCCTGGCGTCCCTGAGCAGCCTCTGTTCCTCTCTCCTCTGAATTTGGCTTCAACCAAAGGAAATGGCTCTTCTTGGCTGCAAATGTCTTCTGCTATTTCCATGTGAAATTCCTCCCCATTAAGTCAGAGCATGTCAAAAGTCACAGCACTGCTGGGGACAGTGTGTCCTCCCCCCTCTCCTCCCTTCTTTCTCTCCTTCCTCATCCCCACTGCTTTCTGGACCTGCAGGTGACACCTTCCAGACCCACAGGCCGAGGGCCACAGGCTGCTTAGGTGACTGGCCCTGCCTCCAGCCTCATCTCTCACCTGTTGGATGCCACCTACCGAGATGCGGCACACAGCTGCCAGGGCTCAGGTCCCCCATCCTAGGATTGCTTTGAAAGCCCTGTTATCTTGAAAATACAGTTCAAAATCTACAAGTTCAGAATCAGTGGTTCTAAGCTGCATTTTAGAATCCCCTGGGGAGACTTTAAAATTCTTGGTGTTGTCAGCGCCCAAACAGATCACATCAAACTCTCTGGGGGTAGAACTCAGGCCCAGTTTTTTTGTGTGTGTTTTTTTTAAACTTGTCCCCCTCCCCCACCCTAGTTGATTCCAATGAGTGGCCAAGGTTGAGAACCACCCCTAAGATGGTGTGAAGGCACCAAGCACCAATAACTCTGGGTGAGGGCACAGGTAGTTCTCCTACCCCTACAGGTTTATGAGCAGGGCACTTGCCCTAGAGGTCCCTCTCCAGGTATGAAGAAGAGATTGACCTGCATTAGCATCTGAGTCTAAAGGAGAAAGGATGGTGCAGGGCCAGTTTGGGTGAAGTTAGTGCCTAGAGCAGTACCAGGTAGAGGTTGTTCTGGGTAGAAAGGACAGCAGGGCCCTGAACCCAGGCACCTCTTGCCAGCCTGACCCCTTTCTGGGCTCCTCACAGATCTTTGATTTTGGCCAAAGGCATGGCTGCTGGCTTGCCCAGCCTGCCACTGCAGGGACCGGGTGGGCTAGTGGGGGCCAGCGCTGGAGACCCAGACCTTGCAGGGCTGATCAGCAGCCTCCCTAGAGAAGAGGCCACTCTGGGTGGCAGGGGGAGTCCAGGCTGAGTCCTCAGAGGCTGGTAAGAAAGGCGGGCCTGGTGGACAGGCAGGAAGGAGGAGTGGCTGGAGGCCCAGGGGGTGGACACATGGAGAATTGTCTCCCAGCGGGTGCTCTTTGCTGCCTGTTAACACCCTTGGCCAGGTCAGATCCCAGAAAAGGTGTCACCCTTCTGAAGAGTCGGGGTCGGGGGAGGGGAGTGGGAGAGGCCCAGCCAGCAGGGGAGGGAGAGAGCAGTGTGGCTGCTTTGGGTGGGAGTGTGGCTTAGTCCTCGAGGACTGTGGACAGGAAGGTGTTCCATGACACTGCAACTCTGGTCACCAGAGTGGACTAGGCGGAGCAGGTGGCAGGGGCAGACAAGGTTTTCTATGCCTTACCACACTGAGTGGTCCGGGAGGGGACAGGGAGGGACAGCAAGGCAGGGCCCTGGGAGCTGTGCAGGTCACAGACAGAGCCCAGTGTTTGATGAGGGCTGGCCACTGCCCCTGCCTCCCTTTTCTGAAGTCTCAGAGCTCAGAGGTCCTGCCTGGTACCCGAGGGCCATCAAGGAGAAAGGAAGCGGCTGGAGCTTCCTTTATGCCACAGGGCCAGAGGGGACCCCTGAAAACGTGCCAGGCAGAGTCACATCTGCTTAGGCTTCTAATCCCCAACCCGTCCTGGGCTGGCATGGGAGCTGGACCGCAGAGCACTGCTGAGCCCATTGCCCAGTCCTGTGCCTGGGGCAGTTCTTTATCCAAACCGTCTGTATCAGTTTCCTGTGGCTGCTATAACAAATTACCCTAAACCTTGTTGCTTAAAACAACACACATGTATTCTCTTACAGTTCTGGGTTCAGAAGTCCCCAAATCAGTCTCACTGGGCTCAAGGCAAGGTATTGGCAGGGGGGTTCCTTCTGGAGGTCCCAGGGAGAATCCATTTCCTTGTCTTTTCCAGCTTCTAGAGACCATCTGCAGTCCTCTCCTCAAATCACTCCAAACTCCTGCTCCCTTCGCTTCTGGTCCTGCCTCGAACCCTCCTGCCTTCCTCTTTGAAGGATCCTTGTGGTTACATCGGCTCACCTGGATAATCCAGATAGTCTCCCCAAGGCCTTTAACAAAACCCCTTTACCATGTAAGAGAGCGTCTTCCCAGGTCCTGGGAATTAGGACGTGGACACCTTTGGGGGGATGTTATTCAGCCTCCACGTCATCTATCTAACCTGCAGCTGGAATGGGAGTGAAGCGTTCTGCTGCTGAAACACTGTCCTCCCGGTGGCCCTCCGTGTGCCCCCAAAACCCTCCCCAGTCCTCTCCAGGCTGTTGGGGGCCTCTCACCGGGGCCCCAGCAGCCCCTGATCCTCGCCTGAGGCCAGGTTGGACTGTGGGCTCTGGGATCGCAGTGGGTTGCCATCAAGAGCTGGCAGCACGGGCTGAGGGAGGTTTCATTAACTGGCTGGTTCCCAAACAAGGCCAAGAAATATTTACATGGTGACGACATCTGAATGCCCGGGATGGGGTACAAATGAAACAATGAGCACTTTGGTACCAGAAAGGAGTCTGGGTGGTGGCGGCTGAAATTCCATTCATATTTGTGCCCGCAGATAAACACTATTAATACTGAAGGGCTGTGTCCCGGAGAGGGACGGGTGGGCCGGAGGTCCGTGGGGGTGATAGTGCAACGCAAGTCTTGTCCCCAGACTCCAGCCCTAGTTCTGGCACAGTGGGTTGCACACAGGGCTGGCTTCTTCCTTCTCCAGTGAGGGTTTTTGTGTGAACAAGGGGTCTGAAGACGGGGGGTCAGGACATGTCTCCACCCCTGCCTGACTTTAGCATCTGACCAACTTGAGGTCAGCTCAGCAGAGCCCTCATTGAACAGGATGGCCTCCCTCTACTCTCTTCCTTGGAGGATGAGGCTTCTAAAACTCCCCGAAGCTGGATGATAAGGTAACACCACCTCACCTGTGGCCTTTAATTTTCACCCCGGGGGGATCACGAGCTGGGAGTGAGAGTATGTGACAAGTAATCTGGTACTAATAGTTAAATCACTAAAGACAGTGAATGTGTTTCCTTAAAAGAAAACATCACAGCAAAAGAGAAGTTGGGCCCTGGCCTGGGTGCCTATTAGTTGGAGCATTGTCCCGTGCACAGAAGGGTTCCGGGCTCAATTCCCGGTCAGGGTACACACCCAGGTTGTGGGTGCCATCCCTGGTGGGGCACGTACAGGAGGCAACTAATGGATATTTCTCTCTCACATCAATGGTTCTCTCTCCCTCTTCCTCTCTCTAGAAAAAAAAAAGACCTTAGGCACCTAAAGGCTCCAGGACAGACCCTCCTTCACTAGGACAGCAAAGCCGTAACGGAGAATAGAACTGAGGGTGGGGGAGGCCAGGCCACAGTGAGGCTAAGGAAGCAGGAAGCTGGTCCAGGCCAGCCCCAAGTTCTAGGGAAAGCCTCAAGGGCAGTCTTCAAAGTGGGCGGGTACAGCCTTGGGGGTGCATCAGATGATCCCTTGGGGTACACAAAGAAAACCGAGCTCCCGTGTAAATTTATGTCACCTTTCAAAATGTTCACGCACACTGTATGATACATGTAGGATGGTATGTGGTACAATGCATAGTAGATGTGGATTGTTACCGACCTCTCAGCGAAGGCGGCCGATGTAAATGCGGCCTGGATGCTCACCACACCCCTCCCCGTGCGTCTCCCCCATGTGCCGTGCCCTTGGAACAGTCTCTATGCAGATTGCCAGTCTGGCCCTGGACTCTCCAGTTGGCCAGGTGGGCAACAAGGGGCCCAGGGCCACCTAAGGCAGCGGTCGTCAACCTTTTGGACCTCACGGGCCACCAGTGTCTGTGGACTACCGGTTGGCGACTGCCGACCTCAGGGACAGATGGCAGTCCAGAATGAGCTACTGTAGCTGGGCCTGCCAGACCCTCTGCCTCCTCCCACGCATCTCCAGGTTTCAGCCTGACCTCGAGGCCCGACCCAGCTTCCACCATGCTCATCCTCTCACTGGCTCAAATCACAATCCCCTCAGCGGGCCCCTCCCTCCCCTCCTTGCTTCTCTACCCACCACCCCCAGCTGTGAGGCCTTCATAATTCCTCGGGCCTCTCTTCTTCCCAAATACCTGCTCCGGCTCAAGGCCTGTTCTGGGGCCACCCGAGCTGCACGAACACATTGCTTCAGGCAAACCTGCTTCCCCATTCAGGGATCTCTTTATTCAATCAGCAAACTGTCAGCAACTTGGCCCAGCCCGCTAAGACCTCCTCTGAGGGCATACAATCAAAATGCATTTGGTGCCTTTCTTATTACCGAGAACTGACTACCAACATCTTTGGGGCCCCCAAGGCAATTCAATGGTATTTGCTTTGTCCTGTTTCCTTATTTTTTTTCTAACAGAATTCCAGAATAAAAATAGAGCTCTATCATATATATATATATATTTATACACACACTTACATATATTGAGATCCTTCAACCAAGTGGCAGAGGACCTGCTGCTCTCCGCAGCGTTGCTCACCTGACGGAGGCCAGGAGGCGCAGGCTCTCCCTGGGAAGCACCCGGGGGTGCAGTGCTGAGCCAGTGTAGCGAGGAGGGTGGGCCTCCCACAGAGAGACTGGGCTATGACAGACCCGGGCAGTCCTTGCCTGGCCTTTCCACACATCTTAAAATGAGAGATGTACCTAGAGCTTTAAAACTAAAACCCAAAGTGCTGATAAAAAAAGAATGCTCCTGATAGGCCTGTGTGGGAAGGGGGCAAATTCTTGGGGGGAATCCCAGGAGCATCTTGCAGCAGGCTAGGGGAACAGCAGGAACGACACCCACCACCAGCACCCAGGACCCCTGCAGACACAGGTGTCTAGTATCCAGAGGCCTGTTCAACCAGTTCGGAGGTGCCGGGCAGAGACAACCAAATGGCCAGGGTGGGGCTTGGGTTGCCCAAGAAAGCCTGAGGAATGGGTTGTGGGTGGTGAGATGAGCTGGGGACAGTCCTAGAGACTCCCATCTCCAGAATGACGTGCATTGTACCGATTGCCCAGAAAGGTAAGGCTTGAAGGTATGTGCTGACATAAGCTACTAGAAAGGGCTGGGTCCAGCAGCCACGTTTCTGTCCTGAGGCCCATCCTGGGGCTGTGGCCTGGGGTCTAAGCAGGCTGCTTCACCTGGGGTGTTTCCAGGAAGATGGAGATGGATGGAAATGGAAGGTTAGTTAAGGCCAGTGCTGTGTCGCTGGCCACAAGGTCACCTGGCAGCAGAGGGGTGCACAGTGGATCCCAACTGGCTTCGTCAGGCAAAGGTCAATGCCAGGCATTATCCACTAACTCAGCCTGGGAGAGGAACCCAGTGGTCCATCTTCTTCCCACTTGCCAGTGGAGTCAAGCTGTGACTGCTCTGGGCAAGACCTGAGAGTGATCCAAAACCCTGTCCTGAGACTGGGGCATGGGACCAGGGCTGCGGGCTCCCCAAGGCACACAGGCACAGGGGATGAAGGACAGCTGTGAGGCTCTCAAGGAGCAACTCCAGTCACCATGACTCTCCCGAGGCGCCACGGAAGGAAGCCAGGAAAACCCTTGGCCCAGCCAGAGGGCAGCTTGCAGGGTTCGTCTTTGGTGCTGGAGAGCAGAGAGCTGAGGTTCGAGCCGGGTGCAAAGCCGGGAATCAAGGGTCAGGGATGTTGAGAGAGGGTGGCATGTATGGGATAGGGGTTTCCAGGTGGGGAGGTAACCAAGCCACACAGACCCGACTACATATTTAGATGCTGCACAGATACTCTGGGGAGGGGCCCCCATACCATGTTGATGTGGCCTCCCAGCTACTTCCTTGCTCATAAATGCCACAATGTCTGAGTCCCAAAGAGCAAGGAATTTGCTTTTGATGCAAATCTGGTCCACCCAGCTCGATGAGCAGCTCTCAGACCCAGCTGGTCCAGGAAGGAATGCAGGGTGGGGTGGGGGAGGCGAGGAGAACTAGGGCTGCAGCTTGCAGAAGTGTTCCCTAGAGATGTATTTCCCTGAGGTTCTATTCCTTCCCCAACCCATGCTCCCTGCTTCCTGCCTGCCCCCCCGCCCGAACGGGGAAGCCCCTCCCTCCCTGCTGCTGCGGGGGTGTCAGAGCTCTCTTGGGATGATGGAGAAGGGCAGCACTGGGCTGCTGGCCTCCAGCTCCAGGGCGGTGAGGAAGCAGTCGATGGCGGCCTCGCTCTGGCCCTGGGCCTGCAGCACTTCGCCCAGGCCCTGCCATGCCTCGTGACAGGTGCTCTGCCTTTCCACGGCGTCCCGCAGCACCTTCTGGGCCAGGGACTTGTGGCCCAGCCGACTCAGCATCAGACCCTGGGGAGCAAGCACAGGGCGGGGGTTAGTGAGGATGTCCTGGGCAGGGCATCCTGGCGATCAGGGCAAGGAACGGGTGTCTCTGGCTTGGATTTGGTCAAGTGACCGTGCCCATGACTAATGCAAATCCCACCGGTCCCCAGCCCAGCCTCCCAGATCACACGCTCTGGGAGCTGTGTCCCTCCTGACCCCAAAGGATGGTCTTCCAAGTCAGCAGACCTGGCTCTGAGTGTCCCCCTGACCAGCTGGGAGATCCTGGACAAGCCACCACTCTCTGGCCCTCAGTTCCCTCATCTATAAACAGGAAAGACCACAGTAGCCACCTCGGGGGTTGTTGTGAAGTTTACACGAGTCAGTTTATGTAAATACTTGGACAGTGTCTACCTGCATGAGTCTAGTTCAGCCGTGGGCAAACTACGGCCCACGGGCCGGATCCGGCCTGTTTGAAATGAATAAAACTAAAAAAAAAAGAAAAAAAAAGACCGTACCCTTTTATGTAATGATGTTTACTTTGAATTTATATTAGTTCACACAAACACTCCATCCATGCTTTTGTTCCGGCTCTCCGGTCCAGTTTAAGAACCCATTGTGGCCCTCGAGTCAAAAAGTTTGCCCACCCCTGGAATGGGTCTTTCTCCCAGCCTTGCTGCCACGCTGCCCTTTTCCCCAGGAACCCCGCGAGATACAGAATGTAAGCTGCAGGCTCCGGTCAGCTGGGGGAGGACCTCAAGCTTGTGGGTGGGTGGGGGCAGCTCCTTTGCCTGCATCAGCAGACATTCTTCCTAGGGATGTCTGGATCCTGGGACCTAAGGCCCGTCCCAGGCTGGCCTGCCAGGTGAGGGTCACCGACAGTCAGAGAGCCGGGACCAGGGATGGAGGCTGAGTGAAAGGAGGATTCTGGGAGGGTGGGTCAGGGTGGCCAGGAGCTTGGCCTCACATTTGGCTCCAACAGCCCTGTTGCCAGAGAGATACGGGAAGTGACAGGAATGGTCACAAAAAAAGGGTCGGGAAGTGAAACTGGCGCCCTGCCCCTCTACGTCCACTTCCACCCACACGGGAAAGGGTGCAGGGAGCTAGGGGGACAGGGTGGTGAGCAGAGGGAGGGGCCAGGGCCTGTTTTTGGCCTCTGTTCCCATAAAGGCTTCTCTGCACCATACCGACTCACTGATCTGTGTCCCAGCCCCCAATGGTGGCAAAGGATGACAGCATGGGGGCAGGGGAGAGGGAGGGCGCTCCTCTTGTCAAAGGTACAGGTAACGCAGGAACGACACTGACTTCCTGGACAGGCGGGGCCGGGGTGGGGGGGGAGAGGGAGCTGCCTCCATTGTGCCCAGAGCCCCTCTCGGGTGCCCGCCCACTGATGGCCATGTACATTTTTAGCTGGAACATTTTCATCCTCACCACGCTCCCCAGAGTGAGGCCCTCCGTTGCCATGGAGACCCACTAGGAAAGATGCACATGCCTGATTTCATAAAGTCCTCCGAGAGCCTGGAACATGACCAATTAGGCGAGAGAAGATGGTGTTCAGGAAGCCCTAGTAAAAGCTCCCCCCGCCCCCCTGCTGGAGGCGCTGGCTGGTGGTCCTGCCACCAGGGGCTAGGAAAGGGAAAGAAATTCAGTCTCCTCAACCCCAGCTGAAGAGCCCTCCTGGATGAGGCAGAGGACAGGGGAGGACAGGGGAGCTGTGACAGGCGGAGCCTCAGGCGGGCCCCGCTCCGGCTCCGGCCAGATGGGAGCGGTGCTGACTCAGGGCTGCCTGGACCAGAGGGCTGTGCCCAGTCTGGCCAGCAAGGGCTCCAGGCCAAGCTGTTCTGCCCGCAGGGCCTGGGAGCTGGACCCTGAGCAGCTCACAGGGAGGAGGGAAGGAAGGCGAGACGACAGGCTGCCAGACACCAAAATTAAGCACCAAAAATGGAAGGTTTGAGCCCTGTGAGTGCTGCCGATGGGGGAGCGACAGAGGACAGACGGGGAAGGCCCGCCAGCAGACTTCCCAGGGAGGGGCGGGCCGCCGTGGCTTTACACACTAAGGGTGCTATACTGCGCTTCCATATGTGACTGTGTTTGAAAAGAGGGCTCTGTCTGAAACTGAGTTTGCAAGCCCCAGATCTCAAGGAGCGTGTGGGGTTTGGGAAGGGGCCACGTGTGTCTGCAGGCTGAACAGGGCTTCACGCATGTGTGGGTGCTTTTCTTGGTTTGGGTCGCAGCAGGCTCGGCATGCTCAGTGCAGAGGACAAGTCAGGGCCCCACAGCCACAGGAACCCCAGCCCTGCCCCCGACACGCGCAGTGACCCTGGGCAAGTGGCCCATTTTCTCTGAGCCACGGCTTCCTCATCTGTAAACTGGGGAACAGAAGAGTCCTTCCTCTTCGGCTACGGTGAGGAGTCTGCAAGGATGAACTGGAAATCGCGGAGCCGGGTGGGGCACATGGTGGGCAGATGGTAATGGAGTGTCCCCAGGATGAGCAGAGAATCCTGGGAGGGGGGAGGGGGTGGAACAGCTGATTTCTCTAGGGGGCAGGGCTCTCTGTGGGGAGACTGTGGGGTTGGATCACCCCCCACCCCCCCACCCTGGGGTGCTGACCTTAGAGCCTGAAAGGAGACACCGGGCCGGGGTCAGGCTGGGGCCCAGAGGCCCGGGGCTGGTAACAGGATCTGCTGCCACCTGCCCGAGACACCAGCCTGTTCATGTTTGGTAGCAACTCGGAGCTGTTTGCTGCTTGACAACTGCACAGAGCCCACCCCAGGAAGACTGCAGGGCTCACCTGCTCTGCCCCCAGCCTGCACTGCCATGAGCCCGGCACCCCTGCCCCCAGCTGCCCAGAGAATAGGTCTTCAGGGAGATGGAGGCACCACAATTCCATTCAAATACCCTGAGGACTCGTCCCCACCCTGACCAGGGGCATCCTGAACCCAGAGAAATCAGACCTGCTGGTGACCCTCACTCGGGAGAGGCCACAGTTGTGCTGCCCTCGCACAGGGATCAGAAAGCGCGTGCAAGTTGCTTAAGGGATGGAGAGGGGCCAGGGGTGCTTATAGACGCTCAGGGAGGGGCAGGGGAAGTCCCAGCAATTCCTGACTTCCTCCATTCCTTCCTCTCTCCCTTCTTGGGTTCCAGGGAGGGGGGAACATCTGGCCACATCTCATCTACCTGGGACCCTGCTCCCCAAAACGCATTCCCCGAGGACAGCAGCCCCTCCTGCCCACACACCACCTTGACATTGTGCTGCGTTACTGTGGGATCCAATGGGATCCCTGACCTCCGATGGAGCTCGGGTGCGAGGGCCCTGGGCTCAGAGCCAGGCACACCAGAGGCACGTGGGGTGCTCAGTGACCTGCTTAGGGCCTCTGAGGGGGTCCGTCTCTGGTAGGAGCCCAGGTTTTCTATAGAGTCAGGGACTGCAGCCTGGGATGGGGATGGAGAAAAAAGATCCCGTCTTATTTTTTCAGAATTGCCCCTGCACACGTCTCACCCCATTCATTCAGTGCTTGACACTGTCCCAGAGGGGAGGGGTGGCAGGAAGGTCCTCTGGCTGTGCCTGCCTTTTTCTCCTTTTGGGGGTGGCCTGCCCTGGGAAGTAGTCCCCAGTGCTAGGCCAGCTGCCGGCCATGCTGAGAGCTCCCTCCCCGCCCCTACCCTCAAGTATTTATAGGAGTTATTTTGGGAATTTTCTTTCTGAGCTCAAGGCACATTCCTGGGATTCTGTCACAACCTCTCCAGCTGGGAAGCCGGGAATCAGCTGGAGGCTGCTGGAGCCTCTGGGTCCCTGCAGCCTCCTGTCTGGGGAGGAGCCCCTGGTGGGGTCACCTCTGAGGCTGCTCCACAGGAGGCTCCTTCCCTTCACCCAGCCTGGGGCTGACACGCCCAGCGAGGGAGGCCCACATTCCTGCATGCTGGATTCTCCCAGGTGTGTCAGCCTCAACCAGTCCAACCAGACTGGGAATGAGGCGGCTCTCCAGGCTGAGAACCCAGCCCACACATCACCACGTACATCTTGAAGCTGGGGTCGCCCCCAAACCACAGACTGGTCCCACCTCCCTGTTGGGAGAAGGGGCACAAATCCTTCTAGATCCCACCCAATGCCTGGCTGATGACACCCCCAGGACTCCCCCAGGCTCTCCTAGGAAGAGGCCCCTGTGGAGAGAGCCCAGACTCACTGGAGCCCAGCCTAGGGGGAGCCCCCTCTCTGGTCACAGCCAGGCCCTCAGGGCTAAGTCAGGAGGCTGTAGCAAGGCCTCTGGACTTCGGGTTTTAGAAGAAAAGACCCTGTGATTGGCGGTGAGAAGGGGCCCATGGCAGAGGCCCCACTCTGGGACCAGGAGACAGAGCCACTGGGGTGGTGGAGGGCGGTACTGCCTGGTGGACAAGGGGAAAGAGCTGAACTCCGCTCCTCCAGACAGAGCGAGCCTTCCGGACCATTGATTCTGGGCTAACATGGGCCGGCAGTGCTGCACTAGCTTGCCCATCTGAACCTGTGACAGGCTGACAGCTTCCTTTCCACTTCCTGGTGGGGGCTGGCCTGCACTTCAGCAGCCCAAGCACAGCCTAAGGCGTTCCAAAATCCAGGGGAGCTGCCCTCACCTTCTGGAAGGTCTGAGCCTGGGCTGAGGGCTCAGTGTGTTGGGGAGTTGTATCAGGCTGGGCGTGAGGCAGGGTGGGCCCGTGCTGGGGAACATGCTTGTGCACCTCCCACCTTCCCCACAGTGAGCCCCAGAACTCTCTCTTCCTCCTCCTCCTCCACTTTCCTATCGGGGACGACAGACCCAGGCAGCACTGGGGGGTGGGAGTGGGGGGAATAAGAAACACAGAACTCACAGTAAAACCACCACCCAGCAGGGCAAATGACCAAGACCTTCCTTTTAAAGTTTTCAGTCAACAAGAAGCAATTTTCCCCATCGATGGAGCTGGTGGGGCAGAGAGACTCCGCTGACCGAGGGGCTGTGCGTGTGCACGAACTCAGGTTCCAAACAGTAGAGCCGGGACTTTGGGTCCTCCCAGTCCTC